CTGGTTCTCATCACTTCTCCATTTATTTCCAGAATTCAACCAGTGTCAAAGACTGTCAGCATAAAAGCTCATGGTTTTCCTCTTCTTTCTTTGATTGCCAATTATCTTCAGAGACATCTCAATGACTTTGATGATGACCTTTGATGACAGTGTTTCCAGTTTCTTGAATCTCAGCTCCTATGGCTCCATTTTCATTGTGTTTCAGCTACTTGAGGTTGATCTGTCTTACGTCCACTGCCATTACAAAGTTCTTTCTATACTTCCAAGATTTTGAACAACAAATCTTCCATCCTGACCTTTTTCTAATTCTTTACTTTCTTTGTCCTTTATTTTCTGAACCTTACTCTCCCAATCTCTTTCCTGGAGTTTCTAACCTTCTGCTTTCCTTTTCCTTTTCTTTTAACTATGCTTTGGATTATAGTAATTTATATAGTTGTCTGATTGCCTTTCCTATTAGATTGTAAGATCAGGCCAAGATTCTGTCTTGTTTTCATCTATCCACAAACCCCCCTTGGCTTCCAGGCTCCTGCTTAAATACCATGGAGGCATGGGACTCCAAAAAAAAATGGAGAGTAGACTGACTTTGTTCTCAGAGTTTGCAGGTTTTGGTACTGTCATTTTGAATTTAGACTTAAGAGGTGGTTACAGGAAGCTGGAAGATCCATTTAGTTTCCTAGCTATAACGGGAGAAAAGTGCAGTGGTCAGGATCAAATGCTGAGCCGCTGAGACTTGAGTCTTTTTGAAGCTCCCCTTGTGGATGATGGGGGATTCAGAAGCCAGGAGAACCCCACTTTGTCATCCAAGAACTGATTGGGACATGTTGGCAAGAGGATAGAACAGTGAGAACAAGCTTTGTATTAACTCAAAGCTCATAAAACATCTCTTCCTGGTTGCTGGATGGATAAGATTCTTCTTGGTAGCCCTCCCCCTCCACCCCTTACAAATGATTCTATTTTTCTTCTTCTGGTAGCAAACAGCTTAGCTACTTCTCAGATGCTTCCTTACAATGTATTTTTTATGTTCAATTTGCTTAATCTGAACAATTATTATTTTTTGTGAAGCTGCTTCGCTCTTCTCCCTCTCTCATCTTTATTTAAAGGAGCAACCAAATTAATATTAATTATTATTGACAAAATGAATCATTAATAATAAAATCAATATGATTAATTAACAATAAAATTAATAACATTAATTATTAATAATAAATTTAATGTTAATAATAAAACTAATAAGGGCAATCACAAAATTCATGTTTGGTGTCACTGTTGATAATGATTTGGGAAGATGTTTGATAACTTTTTATTAATGGAACTTCATGAGGTAGGAGGGAGGATAATTTTTGGATCTTGGGATGTCTAAAAGGCATGAAACACATACATATAAAGTATACATATGTATATATTACATATACATATAGTATATATATAATAATCATAAAAATCACACTATAATTGTGAGGCAAAAACAAGCTTCCCATAAACATATATAAAACAAGAATTATAAAAGCTGTTCACAAGAGCTCTCTAAGGGCCAAGTTAAGTGATCATTAAATCTATGTCTGGTCTTAGAGGATGTTCCTGAGATTTGGTGAGAAGTTTGATTCCCCCACACCCACACACACACATACACCCTTTTAAAGAAATGGGAGAGGTCTGAAATCAATGAGATAGAGGCTGGGGAGAGATCTCCCTGTAAAAGTAAGAAAGACTTTATTAGGGGCAGCTAGATGACGCAGTGGATAGAGTACCAGCCCTGGAGTCAGGAGGACCTGAGTTCAAATCCTGCCTCAGACACATAACACTCACTAGCTGTGTGACTCTGGGCAAGTCACTTAACCCCGATTGCCTCACTAATAAAAAAAAAAAGACTTGATTAAAAGAATCATAGAAATCATACAGTGCAAGTCCAAGGCAAAGTTAACTTTCTCATAAAATAGGGGCAGATCTGATTTCAGTATAGGGAACTACCAGCACCAAACGAGTCATTCAGAACCTTCTCTGTAACTTAGAGAGTTTGCCCACTAGTACTGAGAGTTGTGACTTTGCTAGCAATCACACAGCCACACATATTGCCAATGTGAGCACAAGAGAATAGGTCTTGAATTAACCAGGTCTTCCTGCCGCCAATGCCAGTTTCCTCCCTCCCCTTCCTCCCCTCCCCTCCCCTCTCCTCTCCTCTCCTCCCCTTCCCTTCCCTTCCCTTCCCTCCCCTTCCCTCCCCTCCCCTCTCCACTTCTCCTCACCCCTGTTCCCACCTTCCCTACTCTCTTCCCCTCTCCTTTCCCCCCTCCCCCTCTTTTTCCTCCCCCTTCCTCTCCTCGGGGACATCTATCATCTGTTACAGATCAAGCTTTCACATACTACTGTTAGCCACAAAGTTTATGCAATACTGGCTCTTGATAAATTAATTCATAATTCTTCTCCTTCTCCTTCTCCCCTCCTCTTCCTCTTTCTCCATCTTCCTCTCCAAGATAGAGCCCATACCTTACTTTGTATCCCCAAAGTGTATGCACACAAATTCTATTCAAGAAACATTATTAAATTACCTACAGGCAATTTTTTTTGCCCAGGCGAAAATTAATCCAGTCCCTGGATTCTAATTATTGAATTGAGTAAGACTTAATTTTCATGCTTTTCAACTGGAGCTGGAAGAAGCAGTTTTTGAAGGTTAATTGTACAAAACACATGTGCTAGTCTGTAACGACACTATTGCCAAGAGAAAGATTGAGCAGAAGAATGTGGAGGAAAGGCAGGGACTTAGAATCTCTTCTCCCTGCTTATTTTTTTAATCCATGATTGGCAGTGCCAAATCAAGTGATGCTCAGGAACCAATTGTCTGACAGACAGACAATTGAATACAGTCAGTCACAATCACTGTTCTAGAAAAGGCAGCTTATAATGTTTGGCAGGTCAGTCAAGTGACTCTTTCCCCAAAAGGCAGATTCTATAAACCTTAGAAGCCAAGGATTGACACTCTGCCCCTGCCCCCGCCCCCCTCCCCCCCCATCTCCCCCCTCCCCAAGTCTTTTTGGACTTAGCCACTTGGAGAGCAACCTGTGTAGTATGGATAACTTTATCCTTTCACACTGTGGTAGGGAAGGCAGTTTGAGATGCTTCTACTAGACAGGGAAACTGTGGTGCCAATCAGATGTGAAGGTCAGAAAAAGGGAAGAAGTCCCTTATTCATAACATATTTTATACTTTGACCAGTCATGGTGTCAGTTCTTGAATACTTAGGCTCGTAATTTAAGCTCCTACTCTGTCATTAGGGTTGACACTTTCATTAGTTCCTATTAAATTGAAGTAACAGTTCCATCTTCATGCAAACAATTGCCTATCCAGGGGAGTTTAAACTTGGCCTTGGTGGGTTATAAATTGTGGTTAATAAGATTAGAAATGCTCACAGCAGAAGAGCCTTAAGGGCTTGATTTTTTTTTTCTGCCCTTGCCAGTCTCCTCTATTTTTCTCTCCTTCCTCACCCCTGAGAGTTTCTTCCTTTTCTTTCTCTGCATTTTTTCCCTTCTCTCCATCCTTCAAAGCTTCTTTGGCAAGAGTGGGCAACGCCACACTAAGTTAACACTTCCGAGCATCTTAGAATTCCAAGAGTCTTACCTGGTTTTGTTCTACCCATGATGACATAAAGCACAGAAGTCCACTTCTCTCTCTTGAAAGCTTTTTTTAAAAAATTAAGACAGACCACATATTTGATTAGCCCAATTCAACATTACAGGTTTCCAGAACTCACTTTACAGGAGGGAGGTGTTCTCTCTCTCTCTCTTCATATATATGTAATATTATATGTATGTATGTATGTACGTATGTATGTATGTATGTATGTATATACACATGTGTAGACATACACATAGCACACACATATTATATATGTATATATGTGTATACATGTATATACATATATGTATATATACATATGTGTGTGTGTGTATAAAATCTTCCCCAACATGATTCTAATTCTTAACATTTTATATAATTCTTTTTTCCTTCATATTGCACTCCTGGATTCTCCCTCCCCATATGAGTCTAATATATAATTACATTATATATATTATAATATTTTATAATTTGCTATTTTCCCTCCTATTGGGGTGGGGGGAAGGGTTCTTGGGTCCTTTAACCAAAATTAGTCAAAGCCATACTTTGAATATACCAGGGGGAGGGAAAAATTTGGTGAAATTCTTTATTCGTTTAAGTTTCCTTCTTTCCAAATGAACAGTGTTTCATAAAGTTCAAAGCCTAAACTTACACAGTGACAATTTTTTAATACTTCTTGCCAACATTCAAAAATGTTGGCCATTTTACAACAGCAACCATATGGTTAGAAAGTTTCCTCTTAAAAAGTTTAAGTCAAATATGGAAATGTTTTAATATGATTACACATGTATAATATTGGATTGCTTACCATCTCAGGCAGAAGGGGTGGGGGAAAGAATAGAATATGGAACTCAAAACTTTTATTAAAAAAAGTTTAAAAAATTATTTTAACATGTAATTGTGGGAAAATAAAATATTTTTTAAAAAACTAGGGATGCTAAATCACAGATGAGAATCTCTTTGGGCCTACATATTGATACTTATAAGCAAAACCACATTATCTATGTTCTATTTTTGTTTATTTCCCACTTACATTTTAAACTGGTTCAGGCCACACTCGGGTTAAATTTGTATTTAATATAAAACATGTAAAGTAATATGAAATAAATCTGGAAAGGAAAAAAAATTAAGTCAAAAAAATCCTTCTAAGTTGATTTGGTGGAGATGATGGGTATTTAAGGAATAGATTTTGCTACTAATTGTCTACACAATTTTTGCTTTTCTATTTCCTTGGCCCCTTCTTTTTTTTCTTGAGAGAGAGAGAGAGAGAGAGAGAGAGAGAGAGAGAGAGAGAGAGAGAGAGAGAGAGAGAGAGAGAGAGAGAGAGAGAGAATGGGATCCCAAAAAGACCCCAAACAACAAAACCCCCAAATAATAAAATGGTGATTATATTAGTTTCACAACAGGTGATCTTTATTATCTCGAGGACGAAGTGAAATGCCAGAGTCATGGGAGACTAGCCTTCCATTTTCCATTTTCTTTTCTTTTTAAGATGTTGTATAGAAATCACCATCTACATGTGTTCCTGTAAAAAGTTTGTTTTCTTCCTTCCTAGCTTTCAAGTTGATATTCTTCTCCTCATCAATGTAGAAGCCAGGAACAGCTCCCCTCCCCAAGGTGTAAGGGGGTGGGGGAGATAGATATCATTTTCTTCTCCTCCCTGCCCAGAGACAGAAAAGCAAAGTCAATAGGTGGGGGGGCAGGGGTGATGGTAGGGAGAGGTATTAGAATTAAAATATTCCTTATTACAAAAGGAGCACAAGGGATTGAGATGGAATCCCAAGCAGGTCCAAACACAACCTCCATGCTTCTCATCTCTTCTTCCTCCTCTTTACTTGGCTACTAAATGACCTTTGGGATTTGGCTATGGGGTAGGCTAAATTTATTGAAAAATTCAGGGACTTGACACCATCGTGGCTTCTCCTTTGACTTAAGATACAACAACCAGAAAAATAGACCTACAATGGTGAAACATAGGTAAATATCATGCATCTAGGAGGGCCACTTGAGAGTCAGATTAAGTCTTGAAAAAGAAGGCCTGAATTTCCTTTAGGAATCCTGCAGTGATGCAGGATGGTCAAGGTGTTAACAGAAGACAAGAGAAGAAAAGAGGAGAAAAGAGGGAGGGAAAGGAGAGAGGGAAAGAGAAGGAGGAGATAGGAGAGGGAAAGGGAAGAGAAGGAGGAGAGAGGAGATGGACAGAGGGAGAGAGAGAGAGAGAGAGAGAGACAGAGAGAGAGAGAGAGAGAGAGAGAGACAGAGAGAGACAGAGAGAGTGAGAGAGAGAGACAGAGAGAGAGACAGAGAGAGAGAGAGAGAGAGAGAAAGAGACAGAGACAGAGAGAGAGAAAGACAAAGACAGAGAGAGAGAGGGAAAGAGAGAGGAAGAGAGAGACACAGAGAAAGAGAGAGAGAGAGAGAGAGAGAGAGAGAGAGAGAGAGAGAGAGAGAAAGAGACAGAGACAGAGAGAGAGAAAGACAAAGACAGAGAGAGAGAGGGAGAGAGAGAGGGAAAGAGAGAGAGAGAGAGAGAGAGACAGAGAGAGAGAGAGAGAGAGAGAGAGAGAGAGAGAGAGAGAGAGAGAGAGAGAGAGACAGAGACAGAGAGAGAGAAAGACAAAGACAGAGAGAGAGAGGGAGAGAGAGAGGAAAGAGAGAGAGAGAGAGAGAGAGAGAGAGAGAGAGAGAGAGAGAGAGAGAGAGAGAGAGAGAGAGAGAGAGAGAGAGAGCGCTAAGAGTTCTTTGGGGTGGGGAGAGAAGGAGGAGCTAGCCCTTACTACAGTATAGTACCTGCTCGTTTCTTCCTTCTGTGTGTTGACCGGCCTTTCTTGGCCTTTCTTTTTGCTACACATGTTGCCTTTCTTCTTTTAGGATAACAGTTGGAGTGATGGGAACGATAGTGGGAGTGAGTGCAAGGATGGGCTCGGGATGAGGAGCGATGGGAGTGTGCTCTCCTGGTATGGTGCCTGCATGGACTAGGGCTTGGACTGGCACTTTGACTTCGGCTCCTACTGCGGCTACGGCTGCGAGTGTGGCTCCAGCTTCGGCTCTGGCTGCAGCTCCGGCTTTGGCTTGGACTCTCTTGCCTACATTTTTTTCGGTTCTGGGCCCGAGGAGCCAGGAGCCCCTGCATCTTGGGTGCCCACCAACAGGCGTGGAGATCAAAGGCTGCCTTACTCCTCTCCCTTCTGGTCTGGCTTTACAGAGTAAGGGGACAGACCCTGAGTTATATAGTTGGGGGCCATTGTTAGCCAGGAAAGAGGACTGTATTGTGATGTCAGTGGGAATGTGGAGGTGGGCACCAGGCAGCTGGAGCAATAGGGGATAGTGAGGAGGGGCTCAGCGAGGAGAGAGGGGGAAAGGGGTAGTGCTGAAAGGATGGGAAATAATAGATGTCCTCATTTGGGGAAAAAAGAAATGCTTCCCAGGTTGTAATCTGTACATAACAGCAAATGAAGGGGCTGGGTTGTAAGAAGCCTTTTACAGGCGCTTCAGTGCAGCAATTAGAACTTGCTTGTAATGAGTCAACTTGCGTTCTGGGCCTGCCATCACTATCTGTGATATAATAAAACAGAAACACACAGGCATGTCTATTGTCATTTGGATATAATCTCTGTTGTATAGAGATTAGGGAGCATAATTTAGGTTGTTTATCACCACCCCTAGCCCTCTTCCTCAGGAAGACCTCGTGGTCACCGTGGGCAGCCCTGGCCCTTCTGACCTTGTTCTTCCCTCTCCTTTCTCCCCCTCCCCACCCACTGGACTCAATGTTCCCAAAATCCAGACAGAAGGGCAGAAGGAACATGTCGCCACTGGAGGGTATTTCTCTCCCCTCCTCCACCACGATTGCTCTTATGGCTTAGATGAGATGGGAGTCAACTAATTTCTTCTGATGATGTGGAGAACTATCAGGTCATGTATCCTGCTACTGCCTCCTAAGGCTCTCCAGGTTAATACCTTGCCTCTACCCCCTGCTTCACTGAAATTCTGATGACCTTATGGACTTACCTAAATTACCTTGGATGGCCTTGCCATCCATTTTCCTCTGTACCCTTAGGACATCTGGGCCTTCCCATTTGATTTTATAGCAGAGTATGACCTCTCTGAGAGTACAACTGCCTTCTCAAGCTTTTTTGATCTGTAGCCAGTCACTTTAACCTCTTTTTGGACCTCAGTTTCTTATGTCAAATGAGTAAGTGGTACTTGGTGATTTGTATAAAGTTTCTTCTGGCTCTAAGCTCTGTGGTACCTAGTATCTTGCGCCTCAGTTTCTCCACCATTAAAACAGAGAGAATGATCTTTGCTTTGCTCTCTCTTCCTTCCCTGGCAGGGACAATTTAGTTGAAATCCTTCTGTTAGACAAAAGTATGAGGAATTCCTATTTGGGTCTGGAAGGTAGGAACAATGTTTGAGTAGGCTTTAAAGAATGGTGGAGGAGTTAGGGGCAGGTAGATGGCACAGTGGATAGAATGGTGGACCTAAGTTCAAATTCAGCCTCAGATACTTACTAGCTGTGTGACCCTGGAGGCAAGTAATTTAACCCAGTTTGCCTCAGTTTCCTTATCTGTAAAATGAGCTGAAGAAAGAAATAGCAAGTATCTTTACCCCAGTACCTTTACCAAGAAAACCCCAAATAGGTCACAAAGAGTCAGACATGACTGAGATGACTAAAACAACAAAACAAAAGAGGAGTTAGGAGGGCCCTCCAACCCAATCTTCCAGGACCTCCCCCCTGCATGTTCTGACCACCATCCATATACTGTATTCCTGGACTCCTTCCCAGGAAAGGAGCTTGCTTATAAAAAAAGGAGAATGACTACTGTCAATACACTCATTTCTACTCTATTCGTTTCTAAGGGCAAACTATTCCAACAAGAATAAAGGGGAGGAGACTGGGGCTAGGGAAATCTGAGTCAGATAATTTATCTGGCAGGGAGAATCATTAAACAATGGATTGGGTTCTTCCCATGGGGAAAAGAGGAATGTCCCTGAACAGTTTTTAAAAAGTGGATGGATAAGGGTCCTGGTTGTCTGTCTGTCTGTATACATATGTATATATGTATGTGTATATCCCTCTCTTATCCTCATGTAAAACTATAATTGGAAACTCTTTTTCCTTGAGTAAAAGTTGAGTGGGGAGAGGGGAAGAGGAAAGGCATCATGACAGTGACAGAAGAGGAAATTTCACCTGACCCTAGATGAAACTTCAACACCAAGAGAAAGGCTATCATTTGTCCTAGATCTAGGTGTAGCCTGTGGGTCCTTCTGGAGGGTGGAGAGAGGAATGACAGACCCTAGGAAGGGGTGTATTACAGCATTGGGATCCCTAGGGAAGGATAGCTCAGGTCCAAGTAAGGGCTCTACTGAGGTTTCCCCATGTAATAAAGGCTAGCAGAAGACTTTTTCATGTATGATGATAAGGCACGGGGGTGATACATTGCCTCTGAAATCTCATGAAGAGAAAATATCTCCCCCCCCCCCAATCTGGTCAAAGAGCCAGAAATCTCACCTAGCAGGCCTGACCCCTGTGCTCATCTCTAGTCAGGTAGTATTTTAATGGTCTTGGCCTGTTCATTTCTGACTCCCAAGTACCTAAGGACTCCTCTCTAATCGGTGGGACCAGAAGGGGTGAGCCGTGAAATTCCTTGGAGAAGCCTTTTTATTGTTGTTTTTCTTCCAGAATGAGTTTCTTCTTGGTTCGTACAGTTACATCCATTCTTCTCTTGGGTGGCTCTGGTCGTCCGTCAGATTGTAGCTGGGAAAAGTGGGCCTGCTCTCTATACTTTCGGAGAGGTCTGGTCTTCCTTTGGACTGGCAAAACAACATTCCTCTGGGGAGGACTCCTTCATCAGGAGAAGCTTTTCTTGGACTTTTGGAAACTCTTCTTCCTGATCTTCGTCCTCCGATGACAAAGAGAAGTTGTCCTCAGTGACACAGGCCAACAGCCTCTTCAGGAAATACTCATATTTCTGGCCCTGCACAATCCCTAGCTTGGTACAGCTGGAGCCCATCACCTCCAGCTAAGCCACCTCACTACCTCTTCCAAGGATGTCTCTTTCTTGATTTTCCCTGGAGGTGGAGCCAGAAATGGGGGAGGGGAAACGGAGGGCAGCAATAAGCCATGGGGAGGGGCATTCTGACAGGTCCGCATCACAAAGCAAAGTGGTCTACTTCCCTCTCTCACTCACTCCCTTCCCCTCTCACTTCTAAGGTCAGACTGTCTGGAATCTGATCTCTTCATAGACTTCTCATGTCTACTCAAGACCACCCCTTCTCTTCTCAAGCCCCCACCAAAAATGAAAAACTCTCTAAAGTCATGAAACAGTGGAAAGAAATAATCCATCAATCATTCCTCATTCTCTTAACAAACAGTTAAATCACCAAATTTGTGTATGATAAAGCCGTCCACTAAAATTAACTTACTCTGATGTCTCATCATGGTGTGTGATGTGTGAACCTCTTCCATGTTTTTTGAAAGAGGTTATGCCAGTCTAAAAGGAAGCTATGAAAGAGACTGCTCAGGGGATCAGAAAGCCTTAGAGTATGCTGTCAATTTTTGATGTTTTCTGTCTGATGCTTCTGAAGATGGCCCCATTAGGTTCAGAGAGCTTCATCACCAAATTATTAATTTTTGATCTAGAGCAATTCTAGCAGATAGACTACTGACTGAAATAACAATACATGGGATGGGCATCAGTGGAAAAGTACCCACACATACCAAAGAAATGTGAGTTCTTTTCAAGCTTGTGCTATGTGACTTTGCTTAGCTAATTCTTGATGCTTGAAGGATTGAACTGAAGTAAAGAATTGAGGGAGATACAAAAATAAAATAAGCCATTCTCCACCTCCACCCCCTTGGAGTCTAGGAAATCTGGTTTTGCCTCTCTTTAAGAGGATGAACTGTGGGATATTCCCTCTCCTCCCCTTGTGCATTGGGAGAAAAGGCCTAGAGAATGACATCCTCAAGGAAGGTATGGTTTGGGAAAAGATAAAGGGTATTTTGCTAGTAAATAATCAAGCTCTCCAAAAACAAAATGAAAAAAAAAAACCAACCCCAAAACCCAACACACTTGTATTTTGATCTGTGTTTGAATTCACATTTATTTTCTCCATATCACTTTCTTAAGTCTAAAATAATCAATGACCCCAAAACCCCCAGATTTGTAGCCATTCACTGATTTCTAAGGCATAAAAATGTTCAATACTGAAATTTATCAGGGAGTAAGTAACCAAAGCAATAGAACAAGATCTGACATCTTTTTCCTCTGGCATTTCAGACCGAAATCCTACAACACCTTAGGTTTTAAGGTTCAGTAAAACATTTTGTAAAACTGTGAAACTTCAATATTAAAATGTGAATTAATCATAACCATTGGTAAGGGGGAGGAAGCAGGAAATATTTCCAGTTCTCCATCTTATTCCAACTTCCTCAGTTTTACAGATAAGGAAATAAAAAGCCCACAAAGGTTAGTTTAGTTGGCTATTACCCAACATCACACTTGACCAGCCAGGTAGTGTAGTAGAATAGAGCTGAAGTCAGGAAAACCTGAGCTTAAATCTGGTCTCAGAATACTTATGCATTGTATTGAACCTGGACAAGTCACTTAATCATCTCTGTCTGCCTCAGTTTCCTCATCTGCAAAATGGGGAAATAATAGCACTTGCCACCTTGCAGGGTTATTGTAAGAATCAAAGGAGATAATTGTAAAGCACTTAAGCACAGTGCCAGGCACATAGTAAGCCCTATATGAGTGTTAGTTATTATCATTAGCATTATCAAGTATCAAAGGCAGTAATTTGAACCAAGGTCCACAATTCCAGAACCCACTGGTACTTCATGGTGCTTCTCAATATATTAAGAACAAAGATGCGGGTTTTTCCCCCTCGTGAGGTGCATGATACATTCAGGGAAATAGGATGGAGGCATGACCAGTTTGAAGACCCTGTTTGTAAGACCAGGTTAGGATCCACAAATCTGGACACAGAACTTTAAAAAAAAAACAATGTTTTTTCTCTGGGCCTCTTTATGGGGTATATGGAGAGGGGAATTCTAGGGGTTAAAGACCACTGTCTTTAGCACTGATCCTTTTATTTGGGGGCCTGTCTTTAAACCTTGATCCTTTGGTTAATACGTTGTTGAAGATCAGAGGTGACTTTTTTCAGCTAAAAATTGTCATTGATTTTTGAGACTTGAAAGCTGAAGCTGAATTCTAGAATCTTTAGAATTTGGTGGTATCATTTCCCTAGCTTAGAGCAGCATACCAATTAAAGTATGAGAAAAAATAAAAAAGTCAAAGGCTGGTTTTGTTTTTGCAAGGTCACATAGATTACCCTGAAAGGTTCTAAAAAACCATTCTTCTACCATTTTTACCCCACTCTCTCTTTCTAAGAGAAACTCTGACCCCACCACTTGTCCATCCAAGGGTAGCCATGCACAACCAGGCAAGCTAGTTGACTGTTAGCAAGCCTTCTTAGGTGCAACAAAGTGGGTCTGACAAAAGAGTGATTTTCAAGATTTATTGACAGGTGGCAGGCAGTTGGCTACTTGGATCCTTTAGTTTCTCTTAGACCTTAGACACCTGGTTTTTTTCTTTGGTGTGTACTGAACAACTTTGAAAGGGATTGAAGATCTTTGTTTGCTTTTAAAACTTCACTCCCAAGTAGTAACAGATGGTGGTGACTTTATCTTCTTCTCCTCCTTCTATCAGAGAGTTTTCTATATCCTCCTAAGCAAAACACACACAATAGAGAGTTTAGTAAGTAACTTTGGCACCCAAGCCTGGCTTCTATTACTTAGTTATCTGGGGATCAGATAGACTTTTTGACTGAGTATCGGAAATTAATGGACATACTACCTCTCCTCCCTCTTCTTTGCCTCCCTTGGAACTGAGCCCTTTTCTTCCCATAGAATTGGGCCCTTCTCCCATAGAATTGTTTCCTTCTTTTCCCATAGAACAGGGCCTTTCGCCGCCGACGTTGGCCCCTCCTTCTCCTCCGGGGTCTAATTGAGCTCTGGCTTGGACTCCGGCTCCCGATAAATCTTTGTCGAGCCATCTCTTGCTTTTTGAACTTCTATTTTGCTGCTCTGTTTAGGGTTGAGTTGAAACTGCCAACCTGTTTTCCTGGTGGTAATTTAGTTGTCCTCAGGGGGTTTTCCCAAGCAGATATATAAAAGGGGTTTGTCTACTATGACCTGTGTGGGGTGGGTTGGTCTCTTCCTGACACTGTGACTGCACAGTCCTTTCCCAAGTGATGACCTCATATTTGCCTGCCAACTCAAGGTTTGGGGGATGGGGGTGGAGAAGAGGAAAGTGGTTCATGTAAGTCGAGTAAAAGAAGATGAAATACTTTTAAGACTTCTTTGCCTTAGAATAATAGCATTGGAGCAGAAGGGACCTCAGAAGACCAAACACAACTCAACTCACCTTTTGTGGCTTCAGAATGAGGAAGACCTAAATTCAAAATCCTACCAAAGATGAATATAAAATACATACATTGCTTTGTGATCCCAAAGAAGTTACTTAATCTTCAATGCCCCAGGCGTCTCAGACTTATTAACAAGAAAATCAGGTGCCAATTTACATGGTAGAACAAGTTTTCCTTACACTCTCTCCTGGTCTAGTAAAAAAAATTGTAGATCACTGAGGAAACATATCTGCTAGCTCAGCTCATAGATCACCCTCCAAAGGTAGCATTGATCCCTCTTGGGTAGCTATCAATACAACTCATCAAAAACTCTATATGAATTGTGGATTATCCTTCTAAGACATGTAGTTTACGAATTTTCTTGGCTTTGAGTGAATTCCAAAAGACAGAATCTGAAGTCTTGATTTGATTCATTTCAATTCAATTCATAGGATCATTAAAGGATCTGGGATTCATAAATCATAGACTGAAGCTACTGGAAGGGAACCCTCAGAGACCATCTGGTCCAACTCCCTTCATTTTATAGATGAGAAGAGGAAACTAAGGATGGTCAGGGAGGTCTAAGTGTGCTCAAGGTCACACAAGTATTTAAGCCTCACCAGATTTGAGCGCAAGGGAGGGCATCAAACAATTTTACAAGGATTTTCCAGATCACAGGAGTGCTGTATCCCTAACCCCCCTCAATGTGGAAGAGATTAACTGTTATAATCTACTGGGATGCTCCCATGGGGCATCAAAGTAGCCAAAATACAACTCTTGAAAAAAAATACATGTATATATAAAACACGCACACATACATATGTGTGTATATGTTAGATACTTGAGACAAGCTAAATGATCTTTTCCATGAAATCGTGTGTATTTTTTTATTCTTCACTATTCAAGCCCAAAATGCTATATAGAAAAGAGATTCTTGGATTCTCATTACTCTTGTTATCTCCATCTCCTCCTCTGAAGGACAAATTCCTCTGATATACATAACACTGTATAATAATCAATGTCAATTAAAATAAGCATTATTATGTGCCCACTAGTTTTGCCTGGTATTGAGAAACAACAAAGACCATTGTTCTCCCTTCCTGCCTTCAAAGGGCTACTGCTGCTTTCAGAGGAGACAAAATATAAAGAAAATAAATACAAAGTAAAAATTTGGGAAATAGGCAACAATAACTGGGTATGGCCAAGTTACCCTCATGTAAATGGCCTTCATCAATGTCCATTGCAAAATATGGTTAATGTTTGATCACCCAAAAGGAGAGGCCATAAAAGGATTATATAAACTTACACTCTGTTTATAGCACTGTGGGCTGTGATTCAGCAGTCATAACTAAGATTATCTGAATTCACAGGAAAATAAATCCGACAAAAACCAGTTCAAATGGTTGTTTATTCCTTAGAACCTTCATCTGGAATTTAGTGTAAAGTTCAGGTAATGTTTTGGGTCCCCCCCCCATACCAACCAAGGCTAAAAATACACATAATATTTAAAGATTGTAAAAAAAAATACATTTAAAAATGTTGTGAGGCATACTTGACATGTGTTGCTGTTGTGAGACATACACTGTGACATCTCTTGCTGTCCAGACTTTCACATACAGTCTTTGGTGATCATTTCAAAATCTGATCAAATAAGAAAGCCTTCAGTGATGCTCCACCTTCCGTTGGACCTGAGGCTAAGAGGGGAGAAATTGGGGGCATCTCTTCCTTAATTCCTGATTGTAGAGACATTCTCTGGGCATAGCTAGTTTTTTGTATTTTTTTTTTAATTAGGTGCCTACCTAAATGTAACAGAACATCCAAGGCATGTTAGCTGCTTTTGTTGGCTTGAAATGGCCTGAAGTTTAGGAAAGGCAGCTTCTGAAGTAAATTCATCTAGTTTCTATTTGCCCTACATATAGCTTGCTTTGTTTATATTTGCTTTCATTTCATGAGCAAGCTTGAGGCCAGAGATTTGTTTTTGCCTCTATCCCCAATGTGGAAACTGGTACACAGTAGGCATTTAATGTTATTGGTTATTCAAGAAGTTTGGACAACTGGGAATAAAAGGAAACATCCTCTTTCCCTCGATCATTTCCCACAAGGGTTATTTTTGATTCTTCCCTTTTGCAGACCCCTCTGTCTCCCTTTTCTCCCTATCCCATGAGTCAAGGAAATTAAACAGAAGGCCAAAAGACTGAATTTTCAGAATTTATTGACAGGTGGCATTGTTCAGTAGCAGGCTCCTGTTGTCTTGTGGCAGTCACCATAGGTGTGCATCTTGGTGGAAATGATTTTGCTGTTTCATGATGGTCAGAAGATCCGGTTGAATTTGGTTAAATTCTCAAGCAGGAGTTCAGATGGAGTTTTGCTATTTGCTGTCTTAGTATCTTCTTCTGCGAGAATATCTCCTGCGATACCCTGAGAGAGGAATGAAAGAAAGGCTTAAATTTAAAAATAGAAAGTAGAAATCACGATTCTAATACTCTAGAGAACCATCTTTGTCTCTGCATTATTGAGTACAGAGATGTACGAAAGGTGTAAGTAACCATGATTACCTCTCCAGCCCAAACAATTACCTCTCCTTCTCCCTCTTCTCCTTCTCCTCCTGCTTCCCCGGCGTCTCCTGTATCTCCTTCTCTGACTACGGTATCTGCTTCTTCGTCTCCTCCGGCGTTGGTATCTGCTCCTACTCCGGCTCCTGCTGTGTCTATATCTTGCCATTTTTCAGTGTGATTGTGTTTGAGTATGAGGTCTTTTTATTTATGTTTCACAGCAGTGGGAGCACCACTCTGGAGTTGAGCCAGCCAACCTGTGACCTGGTGGTAGGTCTGTGGGCTTGTGGGTCAGGGTGGACTCCTGTCTCTCTTATAGGCAACAGAGGGGCATCAGCCATTGTGATGCTTCACAATGGCCTTGCCCTGATAGGCTCCTTATGGGGACACCATCCTTGACACATGACCATATAAGGGCAACTGATAGAAGATGGACAGGGCTATGGTTCTGATGAAGCAACAATACTTGCACCAACTACCTCACTGGGTGGCTTTGATGAAAGCATTTTTATTTGCTATATATGTCACTGACTAATGTTATCATAATCATCATTATCATTATAATCATCAGATAGATCAATCAATCAATTAGAAAGCATTTATTCAGCATCTTCTATATGCCCCGTAGGCACTTTTGGGCACTGGAGACGAAAATACAAAGGAGGAGGAAACAAGACAGTACTTTCAAGGAGCCAGATGGAAGAGTAGATGAGATGACTTCAATTGGCTCTCTCCTTGCCTTGAGACTCTAAGACAGGTACTATCTAGATCCCTTAAAGCTATACCAGCTGGCCTCAGGCTTGATCCATAATATAAATCTCACAGAAAAACATGTGTGTTTCACAAAAATATGGGAGGAAGATCTTTTCTACTACAGATTTGAAGTTGTATTTAAAAGAACAAAAATTAATACTTTATTCAATGTGACCCTAATCCGTGGCAGGGGAAGGGGAACAGGGTTGGGGGGGGTAGAGAAGAAATGAGACAGAATTCCCACAGTGCTTTGAGTTGGGTTGTTTTCTTGGCTTTTCAAGAACAAGATTGAGGACCTCAAATAAAATCCTCTGGAAATCCAAAGAACTGATAGGGTAGCCCCAGCCATGAAGATGTGTATGTGGTTAGGATATAGAAATTGAAAGAATCTCGTGTTAAACGATACTTAGCAACACAGATATATCATCATAGATTTAAAGCTGGAAGGGACCCCAGAGACCATTGTAGTCCCACCACCTTATTTTCTGGATGAAGAAATTGAGACCCAGGGAGGGGGGTCTTCAAGGTCACGCAAAGTAGTATCAGCAGTAAGATTTGAACTCAGGTTCTCTCCTCCCAGAACCAGTGCTCTATTCAGCCATCCCATGAAAGCTTCCTTCAATACTTTAATGATTCTTTAATCTTATCAACTTGTAAACACTCTTCAACAATGAATACAGTTTGCAATCCATCTACATGTTCTTGTCCTGTGCAATTCCCATCCACGGACCATGTCCTCTGATAAATCTTCCATAAGGAGTCATCCAACATGTCAGTAGCTTTCTTCTAGATCTCTTCACATTGCCTGGACACCAATGGAGTATGCAGACTGTACATCAAGTTAACCCTCACTGTTACTATATGATTATAAATCAAACCTTTTTTTTTAATCAATAAAATACTGTTTTAAATGCACAAAGGAGTTTGCTTTTGAAATATGTCCTAGGATGAATCCTTCTATAAAATGAAATACAATTCAAAGATTAGAACCATGCAATATTAGAGCTGAACATTCAGTCCCAATTCATTCATTTGAAAAAGAATGGAACCAAAGATGTGAAGTGTGTAGCAGGGCCAAGACACATTGTCATATATTAAGTTTGCTTACTTTTAGGTAGTGCTTTACAGTTTATTTTAAAGTACCTCCATACATTATTCTCATTAGGTCCTCCCTACAATCCTTTGAAATAATTTGGGCAAATATTGCTGTACCCATTTTGCAGATGAAGAAACTAAGACCCATAGAAGTTAAATGACATACATGCCAAGATCCTATAGCTAGCTAGTTAAGGTGCAAAGGGCTAGAACCCAGATTTCTTCTCATTATGAACTTAACTTCTTTTTTTCACACCAACTACATAAGCAGTTTCCTTTCCTCCCACTAGCTACCTCCTTGTATCTACTGATCAGCTGCTAACTGAGGCAGTTTCCTCCATTCATAACATACTAGGGATGATTCAGGTTCCTTCAATTTCTGTGAACATAGATAGGTTTTGTTAGTGACTGATACAGTAGGCATATGTCTTCAGAAGGGGGAATGTAGGCAAGAAGGGTTGACATCCTTATTCTCTCATCCTCATCTCCCAGGACTAGGGTGAAGATTCAGGGACCAGAAAACCCTTATAGGGAGAAATTGCTACCAGCCATTGATAAGTATGGTGGTTATCGCTTTAATCCCCAAGACCCAGCTCAGAGAATGACTTTCAAAGCAGCCTTGGGTTGATGCTAAAGAATAAAACCCAGCCCATGGGAAGGAGTCATTCAGGCTTTAGCAGAAGATGGGAGAAAGAAAGAATCTACATTCACCCCTGTCTGCTGTGGACTTATTTTTGGAAAAGATGTTTTATTTGATTACCATCAAAATGGAAAACCAGTCCAAAAGTACTCCCAGGCATAATCAGTACTAGCCCCTAGGGCATCATGACAGGAAGCAGTCTCTAAACAATCTAGTGAACCATCCTCATTTTACACTTGGGGAAACCCAGAGGGTAAAAATTACTTGTCCTAGGTTTTATAGCTGAAAACTGTCAGAGCCAGGATTTGAACCTGAGGTACAGAGTCATAGAATCACAGAATCTCCAAACTTCAAGGGATCTCAGAGGTTATCTAGTCTGACCTCTACCTGAGCAAGAATCCCCTCTATGACATCTTGGACAAGTGGGTCACCTAGTCTCTGCTTGAAGAACTACGGGAAAGGAGCAACCAAGCCCCTCTTGAGGAGGCCCTTCTGCAAAGACTGAAAAAGAAAGTCCCTAGGTTTTCTAAACCATAATGTACAGCTGGGATTGTTAGAAAGTTTTCCTAAACTTTAAGTCAGCCCTTTTACAGTTCCTCCCTAGGGCTTCCTAGTTTGCCCTTTGGGATCCAGCAGGGGCATACTCCCTTTCCCCCAATAGCCTTTCAAATCCTTTAAGAAAGTTCTGATTTCTTCTTTAAGTCTCTTCTTTATGTTTACATATACCCCTAGTTCCTTGAGTCAATCCTGCTATGACACCTTGCCTCACCATGGTGCAGAAAGAATTTCTTCCTTTGAATCCTGCATTGCTTCCACTACCACGCTGCCCCTTCAATCACTGGAGCTGTTGGCCCTTTCTATTCTGAGAGATTGTAGGGTGTTCCAGAGCCAAGTCCTAAATGCCCACCTAGGTGCCCTACTTTCCCTACTCTCAGTGTGCCAACCTTAGGTACAAAGAGAATGGGGAGGTTAGCCTACTCAGGCAAAGAGAAAAGAAAGAATATTAAATCAGTCTTTTAAATAAAATTCATGTTTTTTTTCAATTAACATTTATTTTCTTCCCCTCCCCCACGAAAAAGAAAAGAAAAACAAAATGACTAGGGATTATATTCGGAATTATAAAACCTATAGCATTCATATCAGAAGAGACTATGTAATATGACCTCCTAATTTTACACTGATTCATTCAATAAACAATTATTAACCCCCTACCATACGATCTAAAAATATATACAACATAACCATTGCTCTCAACGGGCTTATACTCAAATGGGGGTGCACATTTAACTAATATATAAGGGAGAGGGAAATCCCATTGTATTGGAGTGGAAGATGAATACATTGACTGACGGATTGATTGAGAGAGGTCCCAGAAAAGTGCTGTGAAAAATTTGAGAAGTCATTTTCACCTTAGGGTTGGGTGTGTGTGTCTGGGTTAGGCCTTTATAGAACAGGTGGTTCCTGAGTGAGGTCTTGAAGGAAGAACAGAAAGGGACTTCAGTGCTTAGCACAGTGCCTGGCATACAGTAAGCACTTAATAAATGTTTTTTTGCTGATTGACTTCCACAGATGGAGAGAAAGGGAGTTCTTTCCAGACTTTGGAGAGGTCGTAGCCACAGCATGGAAAAGCCAAGACAAGAAAGGGAGACAGGGAGTGACCCAGTTTAAACAGGATTTATAAGAGATCTTGAGGGGAAGTGTTTATTATTTATTTATTACTAGCAGATAGGTTGGAGAAACAATCTGAGAAGCTTTGAAAGCCTGGATCTGGATTTTATTCTTCATTTGATATGCAGTGTTGTTACTCAGTTGTGTCTGACTCTTCCTGACCCCATTTGAGGTTTTCTCAGTGGTTTTGCCACTTCCTTCTCCAGCTTATTTTACAGACAAGGAAATGGAGGCAAACAAGGTTAAGTGACTTGTTCAGGGTCACACAGCTAGGAAGTGTCTGAAGGCCAAACTCAGGTCTTTGACTCCAGGCCCAGCATTCTATCCACTGTGTCACTTAGTTGTCCTTGATATACAGTAGAAAGCTACTAAAGAAAGGTTTTTGAGTAGAGAAGTGACAGGACCAGGATGTAGGTTATTTACTTAGGCAAAGGTACAAGCTGAAGGGAGGAAGTTCAAGCCATTGATGACCGTCCAGAGAAGAAAAAGCCTGGATTACAGCTGCTGTGGTAACAGCAGAAAAGTGAAGCTGCATGAGGGAAATATAAAGATAGACATGTCAGGACTTAGTAGTCCTATCAAGGTATGTGGGGTACAAGAGATAGGATAATAATGCATTTGGTTTGACAGCTCATTCAAGCCTCATACCCCTTTCACATACCCTTTCCCCCACAACTCTAGGGAAGGAAAAGGTTGAACTGAGTCCCCAATTCAGCATGTTTCCTTTGGCCTCTTTCCCAAAGCACCAGAGGACCTTGTTACTTTGGGTCTCGAGAGCCACCTTTATTGTCCTCTGCTCTACAGGGTCCCACGTAATGGCTACAGTGTGGCAGAGATGTCTCCGGGGACAAATATTCAGGGGTTGCTCTCCTGAGACCAGAAAAGGGAGGCGGAAGTTTTCCATCTATAAGACTGATTATAGCCATGTAGAATGCAAGCTCCTTGAGGGCAGGGACTGTTCTCATGTTTTTATTTTTGTCTTTGTATCTGTAGTGCCTGGAACACGTAGGAGGGGCTTAGTAAATGCTGGTGGATGCTTGGCCCTGAAAAAAGAGATGAGAAAATATACCTTCCTCTATTCCTCCTTCTCTCCTTTTCAGAAGTGGGGGAATCATAGTTTTGGAACATCACATAAGCTGTCAGATTCAATTGTTTTGCTTTCTCTTGCTGGAATACTTTTCTTTTTTTCCTCTTTTTAAAAAATTATTTTTTGAAAAAGGAAATGACTCTCTGACTAGGGGAGTATATTTGGAAATAAAGGTGACGTAAAAACAAAAGATACCAGCAAAAATTAATGAAAAGATAAATGAAGTGAAAAAAATCTAAAAAAAAATTTTATTGAATTCAACTGAATGTATGAGATAAAGGTGGAATCTTGCTTGAATGACTCATAAGTCTCAACACATGGTTGGTTTTAACTTCTTCCTAAGGTGGCTTAACTAATTGCAAGGGCAGCGAAGATTTTATCCAAATACCATCCACCCACATAAGATTTACTCAGAAAAGGCCCACAATATAGAAGTTGCCCTAGTTTATGTTCCACATGCTCCTGCAGACTATGAGTACCTCTTCTCCTCTAAACCAAGCTCTCTCTTTCCTCCTTAGTTTGAACATAAATCATAGGGTAAGATCCGCTTTTGGGGGAGGGTGGGACTTAGTCTCATAAGTCTGTACCCTATTAATAATTGTAGCATAAGACCTTTTTCCTGGAAAGGAATTTCAGGCAAAACCAATTGAACCAAAAGACATTTATTGAGGTGAGGACCTGTTTGCCCCCTCATAGTTCTTGGCACTATGGCACACACAAATGAATATAAAACATGGTTCAGGCCTTAAAAGGACCTTACAGTTTGAGTGGTAGGTTTAGGGAGGGAAGGAGGGAGGGGGAGTGAAGAGTTAAACAGCAGTACGAGGCAACAATCCAAGAGATGTCACAGAGCAGTACAAGATTAAGTGCTGAATGTGTATAGATGATAACTGCTGTGAGAGTTCACAGAAAAAAGAAATCCCTTCTAGGTGTGTGTGGTGGTCAGACAAGACTGGAGGTTGGGAGAGTCTTAATAAATAAGGGTGGTAGGGAATTGTTTGGTGGCATATCAGATAGTGTTGAACTTGGGGCCAAGAAGACCTGGATTGAGTCTTGTACCTGTATTTTTATTAGTTTAGAGAACTCCCAGGTTAGAAAACTCCCTTTACTAATACAGCTTGGCACATTCTCTGCAACTTTTAAGTTGGTTTGAGTACTGAGAAGTTAAGTGACTTTCCCCAGAATCAACCAGTATATATCAAAGGTAGGACTTGAACCTGGGTCTTCTGGCTACAAGGGGATGACTTTCTAATCTACACTATACATAACTGCCTGTCAGATGTGAGCTATTATTTATTGTGGTCACCATCCCCTGGGATTCTCCCCCTTGTATAATAAGCTGAGTCTCTGGGTGCAGCACTTATCAGATCCCAATCTAATCAGCTTCCAGAATCCAGCCTCTCTTCTGTCCTAACAGAGCTAAGAACTGAAGCTACTTGCACTCAACTGAAGGAAGGCACTGAGAACCATCCCTCTACTCAGGAAAATGGAATGACTAGGCTTGACTGAGGCTGACTGTTCTCCCAAAGATCAAGCTAGGGGGTAGCTGGTGGAACGGCGAATTCTTAGGAAAAATCATTCTGACTGAGTGACATCTATGTCGGGACTGAACTCTCTCCTTAGGGGAGGGATATTACTCTCTCAAATAAGACAGAGATAGCTTTGGCAAGGAGGGCAGGGTGGGGAGAAAGGAAGTAACCCAGAGTGTTGGGGATCAGGGGTGGTCTGAGGAAAATCTGAGAAGGAAGCGGTTTTTCTTCAGATTTTGTTCAATCTCCTGCATCAGAGTTGCCCTCTAGGTCCAACTTTTAATTTTTGGTTGGGATCAAATCAGTATAGGGGAACTTCCAGTATGGAAATTCCCTCAACTTTATGCAAGTTCAGCCAATTGTGACTAATTCTTAGCCTTAAGTGCAGCCCTTTGAACTGAATCCAAACTTCACAGAACAAATCCCCTTAATAAAAGGATTAGTTCTATAAAGGCCTCACCCAAGGACCTAGAAGGCCACATGTGGCCTGGAGGTCTCAGGTTCCCCACCCCTACTTTAGGTTGTCTGTGGCACCAAGAGGTTAAGTGATTTGCCCACAGTCATACAGCTAATATGTATCAGAGTCAGGACTTTTAGGAAGACCTAACCCACAGTGGCCTCTGGTCCAAAAAATTGGGGGACAAGATCCATCCAACATTAAATCTGAAAAACATTAAATCTTAGCAATCATAGGATCATAGATTTAGAACTGGAAGGGACCTTAGAGGCATCAAGCCAACTTCCTCCTTCCACAGATCAAGAAACAGACACAAAAAAACATTTTTTTTGGATTTCTCAAGGTCACACAGCTGGTTATAGGATTTGAACCCAGGTATTATCAATTAGTTCAAATTGTCAGATGTGCTTTTTAAGCCAGAATACCAACTGACTTGCCTGCCATCCCCCTGGTCGCTGATTTTGGGGAGCCCATGTTGCTGTAGAAGAGTAACTCAGGGAGGTTTACAGGCAAGGGAGGAGACACTTTAAAAAAATCAAATATTTGGAACACTAATGCATTGTTGGTGGAGTTGTGAACTAATCTAACCATTTTGGAGAGCAATTTGGAACTATACCCAAAGGGCTATAAAACTGTGCATACCCTTTGATGCAACAATACTACGACTAGGTCTGTAACCTGAAAAGATCATAAAAAAAGAAAAAGGACCCACATGTACAAAAATATTTGTAGCAGCTCTTTTTGTGGGGGGAAAGAATTGGAAACTGAGGAGATGCCCATCAGTTGGAGAATGGCTGAACAAGTTGTGATATATGAATGTAATAGAATACTATTGTTCTGTAAGAAATGATGAGCAGGCAGATTTCAGAAAAACTGGAAAGAAATATGAATTGATGATTGTACACAGTGATAGCAACACTGTTCTATGATCAACTGTGATAGACTTAGATCTTCTCAGCAATGCAAGGATCTAAGACAGCTCCAAAAGACTCATGATGGAAAAATACTATTCACATCCAGAGAAAGAACTCTGGAGCTTAAATGAAGATGGAAGCATACTATTTTCACTTTTTTAGTTTGTTTTTTCTTTCTCATGGTTTTTCCCTTTTGTTCTGACTCTTCTCTCACAATGTAACTAATGTGGAAATAATGTTTAATATGATTGCACGTGTATAACCTATATCAGATTGCTTGCTGTCTTGGGAGGGGAGAGGGAAGGAGAAAAATTTGGAAGTCAACATTTTACAAAAATAAATGTTGAAAAGTATCTTTACATGTAATTAGAAAAAATAAAATACTATTAAGTGAAAAAAAGTCCAAATATTAAAAATTGTTTTAACATGTAATTGGGGGAAAAAGAAAAAAAAAATTAAAAACCACCATTGAAAAAAAAACAAAACCCTGAGTTTTCTCATAGAACCCTCCTTCATACTCCCCCTCCCCAATCACCAAGGTGACCACGGCACAGCTGGGTTTGGCTGCCTGGCAACAACATACCCCTCCCCCTTCCCTTTCTCCTCCCCTTTGCCCAGAGCTCCCCCTTGTCTGATGCTCTTTTATGATGCCTATCAGCAGCCCCTCTGCTTTTTTTCTTTTCTTCTTAAGGCTTATCCTTGATGCTAATTTTTGACCTGATTTGATTCCATTTGGATAAAAACTCATAAAAAGGGTAGGGAGAATTCGAATAACCACCTTTCCTCCCAGGACTTCCCCTACCTCCAATCAAAGACAATTCTCTTCTCCTTTTTTCAGGTGTCCTATATCCTGATACTGTGCCTCCCCTCCCCCCCAATTCCCAGTGTCTCTTGATCTCCCTCAGTTATGTGTTCTTTGCTCCTTTCCATGGAGGCTCTACTGTTTCTGTTGCCTATATTTAAGGAAAATGGAGGCATTGGGATACATAAAAAGTGGAAGACCTTGTTTGCCCAAGAAAAATTCCTCCACGATGGACCAGGTAGGCTGGGATTACCTGGAGCTGAAACAATTGGGGCTGACTGCACCAGCCTCTTTGCCTGGGGATTTAGGAGAGCCTGGTGGGTCTTGAATTTAACTGTCCTATAAGGCATAAAGAGCATGTACCAGGTGAGAAGGTGAAATGAGTACCTAAGGCCAGGAGTAAGCTGTTCAGTGCAGGTACTTCATAGTGTTTCATCTTATATTGGTCTAGCCCTTGGGGGGTGTCTACAGGTCATGGGATCATAAAATATAGAGCTGGGAAGGGGCACTGCACATCAATATCCCCTCCTCATTTTACAGAGGAGGAAACCGAAACTGAGAAGTCACCTAAGTAAATAGCAGATCTGGGATTCTAACGCGGGTTTGCTGATTCCAAATCCAGTACCTCTTCCACTAGACAATGCTTCCCTGCCCCCCCTATCCTGTCCATTCCTCTCTCCTTTATAGATGAAGAAGCTGAGGCCCAGAGAAATTAGATGACTTGTTCAAGGTGATGCAGTTATCAAGTGGAATAGGAATGGGAATCCAGGTCTGTCTGACAACAAATCCCTTTTCTACTAGATCACCCTGTCTTTGTTGTCTTTATAGCTTGTGTTGCTCCAGAGCCCACACCCTGGGAGTACCAATATTAGTGAAGGAAGAGATGATGAGGACAACAATCCCATCCTTTGTAAGAGCTAATCATAACAGCTAAGCTCCCATTGATTCAGGCTTGGGGTCACCCATAGGCTTAATTTGATGACTTATAATGTGCCAATGGGTCAATGTTTATTCATTGGCATATATAGGGAGGAGGAGTGAGCCTAAAGCAGTCATTGTCCTCCCTACTTATCAGCAACAACAAAATTTATTGAAAGCCTACTATGGGTTTGATGGCATCATGAGTGGATTATCTTGCAAAGAGACTGATGAGAAACCATTGCAATGTTGTAACTTTTTTTTCACAGAGGTCTGTTTAAATTGGAAAGGTACTTCTGGTCCAATGTTCTCATTTTGTGCATGAGTTTGAACACTACAGCATTTCAGAGTTGCAAAGAACCCCTTAGCTGCTGGGGTCACCTGACCAAAACTGTCTTGTATTTATTTGTATATAGGAGACAGAGAATGGGCCTGTGGTTTCATTTGACATGGGGATCTCCCGGATGAGAAAACTCTCTCTACCACTACAAGTTGACACCTCTAGCCTTAGAGAGTTACCCAGAGAACTGAGAGATTAAGCCACTTGCTGGGGTCACACAGCAGGGACTGAACCCACACCTTTCTGATTCTGAGACCACCTCTCTAAAACATTCTACCCAGCTGCTTTTCTATTTTGTATTGACGTCTGCATGTTGTTTCCTCTTCATAGAATGTAAACCCCCTGAAGGCAAGGACTGTTTCATTTTTGACTTTTCATCAACATTGCCTAGCATGGTGGTGTGCTAGGCTTTATTGATCAATTGCCCCTTGTTCTGACCTTTGGGGCCAAACAGAACAAATCCAATCCCTTTTCCACAAGACAACCCATCACATGCTTAGAGACAGCTGTAACACCCTGTCTGAGCCTTCTTGTCTCCAGAAGGCCCAGAGAGATAAGTGACCTTGCCTGATAACGCATAACTAGTTTGGTGGCAGTCATAAATTGACGGCATTATAATCCAGTTCTCCAAATTTCCAGCTTTTCATTTCTGTTATCCCCTTTTCCCTTTTCATTACACCCTCTGGACTCTACTCTAGGGAGGAGTTGACCAAGGGAAGGGGAACAAGCATTTAAGTTCCTACTAATGTGCCAGGTACTGTGCTAAAAAGGTAACTTTGCCAGAATCATTTCATGTGATGAGATAGATTAGCTGTCTCAAGGACACACATGACTCCCTGCCCCACCCACATAGTGCCTTTGATGATTCTGAGACCTTTGAATCCACATTCTGGCTCCATCTGCTCTACTAGGGGCAATTAGGGGACTGGCAGTGACTCAAAATGGAGCTCCTCCCAACAAGAGTTAAAAAGGTGGCTTCTTAAGAAAGGGAAACTCTGAAGGTGGTTTTACTTTCACTTTCCTGTTGAGTCTCGGTGGTGATCAGGAACTGCTCTGTATACATATGACTGTCGTCAGACTGAAGGTTTGCTATGGCTTTTGTTTTTGGATATCCCTCCCCCCACCCCCAATACTGGGGCTCTTCCCAATTTTTGTGCTGTTCAACATAATTCCCACTGTGCTCAAGAGGGGACTGACTGCCAACATGGAGACTTTATAGACCTTCAACCCAAAGGCTCTTGGAGCTAGAAGGGGATCAATTAATCGTTAGGCACTTATCGAGTGTCTCTGTTGGGGATAAGACAAAAATTGAGTGGTGCCTTCTCAAGAAGCTTCCATTCTACCAGTAGACTTAGAGATCATCTAATGATTAGATTGTAGTTGGACCCTGAAGAAATTATAGCTTAGAAAGTTGAAATGGTTCCGCCCAAGGTTATGGATCAATTGAGGGGTGGAGTTGGAAGAAAATCAATGACAGTAATTCATATTTATGACATTTTTATGTTCTAAGCACTTTCCTGTGAGTTGGTAGTGCAAATATTATTGCCCTTATCTTGCAGATAAAGGAACTAATTAAAGCCTAGTGAGGTTAAATGATTTGGAGAGGGGGGCAGGCTACTATGTACAGCCAGTAAGGATTAGAGAACCAGCTTTGAAACCCAAGGGCTTCTAGATCCTTTCTGAAGTATGTGTAGAAAATGAGAGAGGGTCCATATTATTCTGACTCCCTCATGTTGCTGAGGAAGATACTGAGGCCCAGAGAGATACCTAGGGCCATCCAATTGGCTAATATCGTACTAACATCTTCAGGTTCCCAGCTCAAGAGAAACACGCTAAAGCAGAACAGGAGTTTTGAACCTTGTTTTTTATTTGCATCACAGATTCCCTCGGCAATCTGGTGAAACCTATGGACCCCTTCTCAGAATCATGTTTTGAAATGTACAAAATAAAATACGTAGGATGACACAGACTCAATTCTATTAGAAGCATTATAAATTTTTTAAAATAAGCTTACAGATTCCATGTTAAAAACCTCTTCTTCATGCCAAACAACTTAACCCTGTCTAGGTTTAGAGGAGACAGATAGAAGGAGACAGACCTCTTTGCTTTCACCTTTACTATGGCTCTATGCTGATAGGCCTTGGTCACTTTAACAGGGATGTTCTGAGCAAGACTGGTCTTATAAAAGAGTCAGAGCTATAATTAGAAATTATTTTACCTGAGGAAAAGTCCATATGAGGCAGAGGAGGTACAGAATAGTAAAGCTGGTGATGAGGGAGAGGGGGTCAAGATATCATGACACTGGGGCAAGTTACACCATCAAGTGATAAAGGCACTGGTTTGTCAGAAGAGGAGCTTGAGAATCACCATGAGGAGAATCACTCCTCCCACCTTCCCTCCACTATAGTGATACTCAGGGGCAAAGCCCCATTTACCCCAGGCTAGTTATGGTTCTGTGTGGAGTTACTATAGGAAGAAGAATGTTTACATGGTTTTCTCTGGGCAGGGCCACCTCCCATCTCATTCCCCCTTCTCATCTCTCTCATAAGTTAAAATGAATCTTGCAACTTCACCAATGGCAATTCAGAGCTCCTTATTAAAATACAGACATGCTCATTGGAAGTAACACATTAAGAAGTCATCTGCTAACCCGGTGGGCAAGGTTTACAGAAAGCTGCCCGCAAAAAACTCAATAACTAGTTTGTAGCTAAAGGGACACTGAAGTGGACTGAAATGACCATTTGGCCGATGCCAACTATGGTTCTGGAGACTGAATGATTCCCAACTAACTGTACCCTTCTGTGTTTGGATATCATGCCCTCCGTCCCCCTACCCTCTCATTGTGTAATAACCATATGTTGGACACAGGCAACTTAAACTTGACCCATCATAAAATCAATATCTAAGGAAAGTTTCATTCTTCTCCACTGTAGGTCAAGCACCTAATGCTTCCAGCTGGGGAGATAGTAGGGCTCTCCCAGGAGGAGAAAATGCCTTCTGTCCACAAAGCTCTTCTTTATTTCCCAGGTTCATGACACAGCCAAAAGTTACTCCTGTCCAGAGGCCACAGGCCGGACTAGATGAGCTAGACTTCTAGCTTCTCTGTAAACTCATATAATTCATTCTAGGGTCAGCTACCCTGCCAGGAGCTAGAGCAACTAAGCTGACCTGGTCTTGGATCCACAGTGGAGAGATTACTTTTCAGGAAGTCAAGAGAACTGGCTTCTAGCCTGGGCTCTGCCAATGACCTGTTGTGTGAATGTGGGCAAATTACTTCCTTTTTCTGGGCCTCTTTTTTCTCACCTAAAACACACACACACACACACACACACACACACACACACACACACACGACAACAATACCTGCTTTTGAGAATAATGAACGTGCTTTAAAAACAAAGTCTTGCTTGTATGGTCTGATGCTGAGCGAAGTGAGTAGAACCAGGAGAATGCTGTACACAATAATAGCCACGTTGTACGATGACTAATATTGATAAACTTAACCCTTCCCAGCAATATAAGGATCTAAGACATCTCCAAAGACCTCATGATGGAAAATGCTATCCACATCCAAAGAAAGAACTATGGATGCAGATCGAAGCATACTATTTGCTAGTTTTTTTTCTTCTGTTGTGTTTTGTTCCCTCTTTCTGGTGGTTCCTCCAATTGGTTCTAATTCTTACTTACAACATCACTAATGTGAAAATATGTTTAATAGGAATGTATATGTATAGCCTATATCAGATTGTGCACCATCTTGGGGAGGGTGATGGGGAGGGAGGGGGAGAAAAATTTGGAAATATGGAAGTGATTGTTGATAAATCAAAATAAATTAATTCAAACCAAAACAAAACAAAAACAACAAAGTCTTGTGGGTTGTTTAAAAGGCTACATATATATTTTAGAGAGTGGTCTTCCCCAAGAGGAGATGGGCCTCAGCCACTTGACTCAATCAAATAAAAGCAGAGGTAATAAAAGCAAAAAAGCCCATTGCCTCATTGTTTGGGATCCCCCTCTCCCAGCCCAGCTTAAGGCAAGCAAAGCACAAGGAGGGGAGGCCAGTAAGAGGAGGAAGTCATCACCTCCCAGGTCAAGATAGTTTTAGCTGAGTTTAAGCCATACAAGACAGAGTTTTGGTCTGCTCCCAGGCTTGCCATTCATTCCCTCTGCCTTCTTCCACATGTAGTTAGTTAATCCTCTTGTTTTCCCTAGGTTGGGGATAATAACAGAGGGGGCAGATTAATTACTGGCTGGCTATTCCTGTTCCAAATATGTGGAGTGCTAAAAATGCATGACTGATCCTTCATCCTCAGCAGGTTTGTCTCAGACCCTTGGAATCTTGAAACATGTCTCCGTGTGTCTGTGTTTGCCCACCACCTCCTCCTCCTCCTCCTCTCCTCCTCTTGGGGCTTCGTGGGTATGGCTGTGGAGAGACTTTGCCAAGGACCTGACCACTCCTGTGGGCTCTGCTAGCCCACATGGAGATACTAGGTCACCTGGGGCTGCGGCCAGGGGAGAGAATAGACTAAGGAGACACATTCCTGCACTTGTCTACTACTTAACAGGTTCTGGCTAAATCTACCTGGAAGAAGCAATAAGAGGAATTGGGTGTCCTGTCTTTCTGTTGCCTGTGTGCTGTGCATGGGCCCATCTGGATTATTAAATCACTTGCTCAGGGCCATTGACTCCTTTTTGTCTTTATCTCAGACTGCAGCTGCTGAGACTGGCAACTTTTGTGCCCATATATCTTTTGTGAAATTTCAGCTTCTCTGGGGTCGTAAATTGCTGACCATGTTTCCTTAGTGCTGGGAGCACCCAGGGACAGAAATTGCCTTTAGAATTCTTGAGGCATGAACATTCCATCACTGGAAGGGAAGAGAAGGAAGCATCCCCCTTATGTTCATCAGATCCAGTTGGGGAAGGAAAGAGAAAGGAACAAGCATTTATTAAGCTCCTACTGTGTACCAAGCACTTTGCTAAGTCTTTTTTTTTTAATTTTTTTCAAATCATTGTCTTATTTGATCCTCATAGAGACCCTGGGAGGTAGATGCTATTATTATCCTTATTTTATAGTTGAGGAAACTGAGGTAGATTGATCCATAGGATATTCCCATCTGTCTGCCTGGAGTATAAGCACTGTGTCTCTCATTCTCTTGCCTTCAATAAGAAAGTTTTAAAACAGAAACAGGAAGCAAAATGACATATTTTCTTCCCTTAATGTACCCCACAGGAATGTGGAAAGCTTGGTGTGGGAGTTAATGAGTCTGTCACATATAAGATCACACCTGACCAGCTACATTCACTATCGGAAACAGTGCATAAGGAATGGAAACCAGCACTATGCTGTCTAGGTCCATTGGATTGGCTGTTCTGTACTTTGTTAGTCATTTAAGACAAAATAAAGTTGTTCTCTCAAATCGTTTTTCTAATAATCAGATTACATGTTCCTTACAGCAAGGACCACATTTCCAATTTGTTTTGTCTTTACCATGGCACCTAGCATAGTGTTGAGCACATAGTAAATGCTCAAAAAAAATCTAAAAAGGGAAGAAGGAAAAAAGGAGAAGAACTGGCGGTCAGAAAAGCTAGATTCTAGTCCCACTCAGCTTTGCTATTAATTAGCTGTGTGACCTTGGGAGGGTACTTCTCTTCTTTGAACCTTTTTTGTAAAATTCCAGTTTTGATACTAGCTGTGTGACCCTGGGCAGGTCAACAAAACAAACAAACAAAAAATTCCAGTTTTGACATTCTATGGTTCTTAAATGTCTATTGTCAGAGGCAGATCTGGGAACTAGCTGCACCTGAGTCAGTTACTTGGAACAGCAGCAGGAACCCAGCCTGGCTGGTGATCGGCAAGGCAAATAAATAGATGTGACCAACAGGTGGCATACCGTGAAAACTGGTCACTAGAGGCTCAAGCAAGGACAATCCAAGACAAAGGATCTCAGTTCCAGCAAGCATAAAGAGGAAGGTGACCTTCAAAAAATAAAGAGTGGGCTGTATTTGTCTTTCTGACAGTACTAGGTAACGTGGCTAAGCCTGCACAAAGTGCTAATCTGCACTGAAAAGCAAAAGGGCTGGAGTCATACCTCTTTTATCCCCATATTATCAGGAACAATGGAATGTTCCTTGAAAAAAATAGAAGGCATTTCAAGTTAAAAACAAACAAACAAACAAACGGGAGAAACAGGATCTGAAGAAGCAAGTAGAGAATTTGAACCTGGTCAGGTGTCTGGAGGGTGGAAGGATGTAGTGCAGACAAGGAAGGAGAAGGAGCACCAAGGACATAAAAAGCCTGAAGCTCTTCTCATAGGTAAGGGGGTATCATCTTATGCTTCAAGGAATGATGATGCGGTTCAGTGAGAGGGATAAGAAGAGTGGCCACCCAGAAGCAGACAGAGGGGAGAAGGGAAGAGTAATATGAATTGGTGATTATCAGCTGGCAGGCTATTTAATGACGATGCTAACAATGGATTCCTTGGGGGACACAAATGTCGCATACATGAAAAGGCATCTGGAGACCGTCAGATCTCAGAATTGCTCCTCACTTCATCAAGGAAACCTAAAAACATTGCAAAGGATCACAAATTCCTTGGGTGAGATATTAAAAATTGTAGAGGCACAGCCTAGGCTGCTTATTGAAGCTAGGAGCTTCAGAAGAGACAGGCAGACAGCAAATTTTAAAAAAGAATTGTACTGAAGAATAAGATTTGGATTTGTGGACTATAATTTAAAATATGGAAATAATGAGTTCTTGGCTAGGATTGGAGAGCAACCAACAAAGGACTAGAAACATATATTTGGAGTCTTACAAATCTGTTCAAAAAGGCTTTAAAATGAAAAAGGAAGTGGGCTCGGAGGAGAATACTGCCAAATTAAACAGCATAGAGAATAGCAGCTACAATATAGAAAGAAGAGTAGTAGAAGAGTGGTCCAGTAATTTATAGGACATATAATCCAAGAAGGGAACTGACAATAAAAGCAATTGCCTCAGCTGTATATGCACAAGGTAATAAATACGATGAACTAGAGCTCCTTATGCAAGGAAGTAAATTGTACCTCATACTTACAAATGAAAAATAGTGAGAAGGAACCTAGAATTGTTTGTCTTTGAAAGGGTACACACGATTTAAGAGGAACAGCATAAACCAAAGGGAGGTATGTGTGAGATAGCCCTCTAGATTAAGAATACTTACAAGTGTTAGGAAGTCCAGGAACCATAAGTTGGAGAGTATTTGGGTGAAAATCAACAAAAGGAGAAACAGAGGTAATATTATCATGTGAATATACTATAGATCACCTAGACAGAAGAAGAAAATAGATGAAAAGTTTGGGAAACAGTTAGAGGCATGACATACTGATGATGGGGCATTTCATCTATCTCCAAACCCACTGAAACTTTGTCTCTCCATCTCTGTCTCTGCAGAAAGCAAAACGATTCATCCATTCTTGTTTTCCCTCAACGACAATTTTGTTTTTCAAAATTTGGAGGAGGCAACAAAGGGGCTTTTATTCTGAACCTCCTTTTAACCAACAAGGAAGAACTGGTGGTTGCAGTAGAAATGGCAGGTACATTGGAGGCAGTGGCCACTTTATCATATAATTTGTAATACAGAAGGAGAGAAGAAAACTGAGAAACGACAGACATGCAACCTAGATTTCTGGAAGAACAATTTTAAACAGTTTAGAAAAGTGATAATTGGATCTTACAGACTAAAATTATCTGGGAGAAGTTGGTCCAAGAAGAAGGGAATGTTCTAAAACATTAAATTCTGAAGATGAACAGAAATCATTCCAGTGTTGCAGGAAAGGGGGAGCTTCCTGAAAATATCAATGTAACAGGTAAATCAACAATCATTTCAGCTTCTTAAAAGGTGTGTCCTCCAAACTCTCTATGCAAAAAAACTCCACAACCCTCTATGCTTATACTCTCCATTTATCTCTGTGTGTTCACTTCTCAACCTGTTTCATATGTTGAGGTCTGGATTTTGCTCTTGCCACTCAATTAAAATGGTTCTCTACAAGGTTACCTCTTAATTGCTAAATTTAAGTTGGCCACTTGTCCTCAACCTACAGTTGACCACTCCTACTTTCCTCCTAGATACTCTTTCCCATGGGTTTTCTTGACACTGATCTCTCTTGATTCCTCTTCTTTCTTTTTCAAAGTTATCTGTTTTCATACTGGTATAGTTATAGTGTAAGTTGTTCTCCTGGTTCTGTTCACTCCTCATCAATTTTATACAAGTCTTCTTAAGTTTCTCTGAAATAGTTTCCTTTGTCATTTCTTACTGCGCAATAAGTATTCTATTGCATTCACATATTATAATATGTTCAGTCATTCTCTAACTGATAAGAACCCCCTTAATTTCTAGTTGTTTGCCACCACAAAATATTTTTGTATTTATAGGTCCTTTTTCCTCTTTTTCGGTCTTTGGAGTATAGGCTTAGTAATGGTATTTCTTGGCTAAAGGGTACTCTACTTTTCCCTCTCCAAACCTCTCCATTAAAAAAAAAAAGAGACAAAGAAAAAATTCATAACAAATATGCATTATCAAATAAAATGATCATGTCCATAATTAAGCAATGTGCTATGTCCAAAAATGTCATCTGTGTCCCTCACTTCTCTATCAGGAGAAGGAGTAAAATCCTTCTTCATAGATTCTCTGGAGACATGATTAGACATTGATCAGACTTCTTAGATTCAAAGTTGTTTTTCTTTACTGTGTTATTGTCCTCATATAAAATGTTGTCCTGTTTCTACTCACTTCACTCTGCATCAGTTCATGCTATCCAGAATTCTCTAAAATAAGTTCTTTCATCATTTCTTACAGTGCCATAATATTACATTGCATACATATACCACAATTTGTTCAGCCATTTCCACATTGACGAGTACTTTCTTAGATTCTCATTCTTTTTCTTTTTTAATCCCCACTTTAGGATCAGGAAGTTTGTTTTGTTTGTGACTAATCTCTTTCTAGTTTTAACTTTTTTCTTAATGTGCCTCACTTGTTTCTTTGTTAAGTATAATGTATTTCTACACCGAACTGGTGGTGTGTGTGTGGCAGGGTGGGGAGGGACGTGGGTGGTTGTTTGGGGTGTATGACGTGTTCGGGTAGGCCTAGCACCCCTGGGCTTGCTGAACTCTTTTCAGGGAGGTTCATCCACCTTTGATATCTACCTGACACTCAATTCTCACCTATGGCTCCAAGAAGTTGTAGCATGTACAGCAGCCACACCTTGGTAAACTGTCTT